GAGTTATTCACTATCATAATTCATGGCATAAAAAAAATCACTTAAGACAGGAGCCTCTTCATTATGATATTGAATCCTGAAAGGCTGGCCATGCCTTGTAGGGCATAATATGCTTCAACAGTGTGGAGCCAGCCTACCTGCTAGATGCTAATTACCTTAATGAGCTGATTGGTCTACACTAGATTCTTCCTCTGGACCCAGTGCATTGAAGAATTACCATTTTCTTCCCTATAAGACTTGTTCAGAAGCAATCTCACTTTCACCCTTACTTCTCTTGTGTTAAGAATTGAAACTGGGACCGGCCGAGTGGCGCGTTGGTTAAGAGCTGGTTTGGGACTTCAGAGGACCCCGGTTCGGATCCCACATATGAGGGCCAGTGACACTGCCCTCTACAGCTAAGATGATGAACAACAGCTCAACCTGGAGCTGGGCTGCCATGAGTCGCCGGTGATGGCATAGGCTGCAGCCCCTGATGCAGTGGGTTTCCATGGGCTACCGTGTGTAGCCAGCAGGCGGCGTGAACGGCCAGCAGCCACTGTGAGCAGCTGTCCAGAAGCCAGCGACTGGAAGAGCACAATGATGGTACCAACTTGGGCTAGTGAAGCAACGTCCTCCACAACTAGACTGAAGAACAAAAGGACAGCAACTTGTCTGTTCCCCTCCCCCCAATTCCCCAGCACTGTTCCCATCCACCAATTCCCCAATTTAAAAAAAAAAGAATTGAAACTGTTTGGGCCAGCCGAGTATTGCCTTGTTTAAGAGTTGGCTTGGGACACCACCTCTGAGCAGCAGGGCCCCGGTTCGGATTCCACATGAGGGCCAGTGATGCTACGCCCTCTACAGCTAAGATGGTGAACAACAGCTTGACCTGGAGCTGGACTGCTGTGAGACTCTGGCGATGGCATAGGCTACAATGGGGCTGGCTGGCAGCTGGCGTGTGCTTTCGTGAGCTGCTGTGAGTGGCCGTCCAATGGCTGGTGAGCGACTGCTTCATCCAGGAAGAGCGCAATGATAATCCCAACATGGGCCAGTGAAGCAACGTCCTCCACAACTAGACTGAAGAACAAAAGGGCAGCAATTTGTCTATTCCCCTTCCCTGATTCCCCAATGCTGTTCCCCTCCCTCAATTCCCCCAATAAAAAAAATTTAAGAAGAATTGAAACTGTTCTAGTGATCTAGTTTCTCAGCCAAGGAATCTTTTTCATGCCTGCTACTCCGTTTTATAGTCTTGGTCTCTGGCTACTCCCTCTTGTTTTAGCAGTTTCCCTTCTTTCTTTCCTACTCTTCATGCATGTATGTAAAGGCCTGCAAGGGCACATGACAAACTTTTAATAGGTAACATGAAGCATGTATATGGATGTGTATATGTGTAGGTACACACATCCAGCCTATGTCCTCCTTCATGTATAGAAGAGGCTAAAGAGTAGTGGTTAAAGCTTCTTGGTTTTGGAACCAGGCTCCCAGCTGAAATCCAAGCTCTGCCCTCTCCTACTTTGTGTAACCTTTGACAGGTTATGTTTTTGTGCCTGTTTTCTTATCTAGTTAAAAAAAAAAAAGAAAGGAGGTGGGAGCAATGATAGTATAACTTACCTCTTAGAGTTGTACTAAATGACTTTTCAAAAGTTAAACACTTGAAACGGTGTCTGGCTTGGTAAATGTAGTGTAGAAATAGATATAATAAATAATGTGTTTGTGTTTGTGTGTGTGCCAGAGGGTGCCAAAAAATGTATACCCATTTTATTTTATTTATTATTATTTTTTAGTTAAAAAAATATATATATATATATATATATATATATATACATATATATTTAAGGGCGCAGCTCACAGTGGCCCATGTGGGGATCAAACTGGCAACCTTGGTGTTATCAGCACCACACTCTAACCACCTGAGCTAACCGGCCACCCTCAATGTATACCCATTTTAAGAAAGGAAAAAACTATTAAAATTGTAATACTCAATATATACCGGTAACAAAAGATGCACACAAGTCACGTTTGACTTCTGCAATTACAAAAGGTGTTCAAAGTGGTTACTATCAGCGTAATTTTAATAGTTTTTTCCTTTTTTTTAATTTTTTTTTTTTATTGGTGAATTGGGGGGATGGAAACAGTGCTGGGGAATTGGGGGAAGGGGGACAGACAAGTTGCTGTCGTTTTGTTCTTCAGTCTAGTTGTGGAGGACGTTGCTTCACTGGCCCAAGTTGGCACCATCATTGCGCTCTTCCCTGGTGAGGCACATCAGTCGCCGGCTTCTGGACGGCCGCTCACTGCGGCTGCTGGCCGCTCACGCTGGCTGCTGGCTACACACGGTAGCCCATGGCAACCCACTGCCACAGGGACTGCAGCCCACGCCGTCGCCGGCGACTCACAGCAGCCCAGCTCCAGGTTGAGCCCTTGTTCAGCATCTTAGCTGTAGAGGGCAGTGTCACTGGCCCTCATATGTGGGATCCGAACCGGGGCCCTCTGGCATCCCAAGCGAGTTCTTAACCATCGCGCCACTCGGCCGGCCCAGTTTATACCTTTTTTAAAATGCGTATACATGTTTTTGGCACCCTCTGTATATACTTGTATGTATATGAACATACACATTATCTATAAATTCACTAAAAATGCCTATTTGTTTCTCTCTAAGAACAGAAGAGAGATTTAGAGGGAGGTGTTTCACAGTTTATTTTACATCATTTGTAAAAGTTTCTTTAAAAGGAAAAGAGACGCTAAAATCTGTATTTTCTTTGCCATTTGAAAATAATTTTTTAAAGAGAAAAAGCCAAGCTCTTTTGATGCTGTTGTGGATTGGTTTCTGTGATTTCGTAGCTACTTGTTTATGACTTATGTGAAGGTGTTTTTATCTACTTGTTTATGACAAAGAAAAAGAAGTTGCTTTCATATAAGAATGAAGTGAGTCGCTCCAGGATGTCATCATTCTACAACTGCATCGTTGATAAGCAGTCAGCAGACCAGCTTAAGGGGCTCTGCTTGGGGCTTATGGATGAGAACATATGGAAAAGCCATTATGGCAAGGGAATATTTGGACTGTAAATACTGAGAGTTTGTGAGGTCGATTTGAGTACTGGTTTGGGTGAGGCGACTCTTGACTCACCCAAACACTCGCTGAAGACCCTTGGAGCATTTGCTCCTGTCTTGGCAAGGCACTGCTCAGAAGACAGTATGGATAAACCCACACTGGCCCTCTGAAAGAGACGTGCCTGCCCACCAACACTGGCGTCTTTGTTTCCTAGCAACGTGCTCTAGCATTGGGGCCTTTTTCTTTTGCGCTGGCTGCTGGAAATCAGCTCTTTGGTTAGTGGCTAATTCTGGGTGCCTCCTCATATGAAAGATACACCTCATATTAAATTTAGGTTTTATTCCTTCATCAACCCTTGCCTAAAAAAAGTGTGATTAATCTGTCGGTTGTTTGGAGTGTGTCATTTTTCTAGTTGTCTTACTAAGAGAGATTATTCTATATGCTTGTGAAATTATGATGCGCACATCAAACCTGCGCTAAATTAATTGCTGGCAAAGACAAAAAATAGTTTCTGGAGCATAATTTTGCTACCTCTTCAAAACAAAAACAAACAGCATTATTAAAACTGCTTAACTGTGATAAACAAAAAGGAATTTTATGTGAGTACTTTCTCTTTAAAAAATAGTTAAGGCAAACAATAATTTTCAAGTTTCCTTGAAAGGAGAAGAGAGAATGAAAGTTAGGAGGGGATGAATCTAAACTTTGTTCAATTAAGTGAGTCATACAGATACATGCACAGGCCTGGCTACTGGCTACGTAAGCTGAAGCAGTGATTCCTACACTGATCTTTCAAGAGCAGACATGAAACTGAACCAAAAAATTTTTTCCATTTTTCAGTTGCAGGCCAGGAAACTATTATTTATTCCATTACAAAATATGTGGCTTTAATAAATAATTTAAAACTCCTTATATGTCCTAGTAGTTAAGAGCACATTTTGGAAGGCACTTGGATTTGTATTCCAACTATATCAGTTTACTAGCTATGTAATTTTAGGTTATTATTCTCTCTCTAAATCTGTTCCCTCATCTAAAAATAGGCAAAATAATCTTTAATTGCACAGGGTTATTGGGAAATCACTTTGCAGAGGCTCAACCCCTTGTTTCCCTCCCTCCTCTCCCTTTCTTCCTAACAAGTGCACTTTTTAAATTAAACCAAAACCTGGATAATTAAAAAAGAGGCCCCAAAACTTTAAAATCAGAACTCCAAAAATCTAATAATATGAAGAACATCCAGTCTCATCAGAAGGAAGAGCATCTTAACAGAAAATACCTTGTTTTTGTGTTTCTTTGTCAAATTCCAATTTTAGATTTCTTTTTTCATTTTTCAAAGCTAATAATAATACGTTTACCAAATGCTGATGAATTGGAAGTATTTTTGTTTTGGTTTACTTGTAGTGTTTGAACTTTTCATGACACGGCTCAGTTTATAAAAATCATATTTGGTTAAGCATTAACTATTTGAGTTATGAAACACAAAAGCTTTGTCTAACACTGGAGAATAGTGTGGAAACTGACATACTAACACATACTACCAGGTAATGTTACATTAAAAATAGAAAAACTGAGCAATGACTGTATACCAAAATATTTTACTTTTACCTATTATAATTTAAAACTTTGAAGAATATTATCAATCACTTACATAGCAAGTGCCACAAAACAATTGATATAAGGTATTATGAGAAATTGCAAAAATAGTGGTTTTTTTAAATTTTTATTGGGGAATTGGGGAAGGGGGACAGTGTTGGGGAATTGGAGAAGGGGAACAACCAAGTTGTTGTCCTTGTCTTAGTTGTGGAGGGTGCAGCTAGCTTACTTAGCTCCAAGTTCAGTTGCCATCCGGCTGCCTGTTGGCAGCTCAGCTCAAAGTGCTGTGTGTTCAATCTTAGTTGCGGGTGGGCATAGCCCATCATCCCATGCGGGAGTCAAAATGGCAACCTTGTTGTTAGGAGCAACTGCTCTCACCAGCTGAGCCATCCTGCCACCTGTCGGCAGCTCAGCTCGGGCTCAGGTCACTGGCCCATGTGGGAATCAAACAGGCGATCCTGTAGCTCAAAGCTCGTGCTTTCAACCAACTGAGCCATTCGGCCAGCCCCCAAATAGAGTATTTTAATAATCTTAAAAGCATTGAGTCAGTAGATGGTGTAGGTAGTTCTTAAGTATACAACTGGATGACAAACTTCCAGATGAGACTGCTAGGGCTTTTCTGCAGAGCAATTGACAGGGGCTGGAACCTCAAACTATCGACCTCACTACCTCTTAGTACGACTCCTTGTAATTTAATTACATGAGTTATATAGTAGGATGAGAGCTTAGATGTAAAAAGTCAAGGCTAGAATCCAGTCTTCTTTCCATGAACACTCTGGGCAAGGAGGAAGCCAAGATTAAAAAATAGGATACAGATCTAGGGTTTTGGGAGTGAGGTCATTTTGGAAAGTGAGAAAGGAGGAATCGAAGGGCTGGAATTCAGGCTCCAATATGTCTAAAATAAGGCTCTCGGTACTGACAGAATTAGTATTTCTAATTTTTCCCTTTTGCCTCAGGCTCTAACATGGCTCAGCTGATCCTTTTTCAAAAAAAGTTTGGTATATTGTTCATCATTCTTTTTGGTGTTAATATTTTTTTAGGTGTTAAAATATTACTAATCTTGATTACTGAGGCTTTTGGCATACCCTTACATTCTGTACGCACTCATTTTGGTCCTGGCCCTGCAAAGGAGTGAAAATGATGCAATGGAACTAAAGACTGTTTCAGAGTTTGGAAGAAATTGAGCCAGGAAAGAAGGGATCAACATTTACAGCTGTTCTTGGGTCTACCTCTCCATCTGCTCTGCTTTACTGACTTTCCCCAAAGCCCCAAGTTGGAGTGGCACCATAACATCTGACCCCCTTCACCATCTTGATTAAACTACATAAAATCTCTTTTCATTTGTATTCAGAAAATGTTAGAAATTACAAAGGACTTTTAATAGAAAAATAACACAACAAACACCAATCATAGAGATGGTTAAGTTTAAACATATTTGACACTTGCCTAGTCTACCCCTCCACCTTGTCAGTGAATAAAATATGGCTCCATTGTTATGGACTTGTTCTGGTATTCCACTTTCAGCCTACAGGCCACTAGTTGTTGAGTTCTTAGAGCTTTTGAGAGAATCTTTGCCCTTACTCTGAGAGTCTTGAATTAAGTAAAAAATCTGCAGTAGCAGAGAATATATCAGGGCTGCTGAATCTTAAATGTGTCAATTAAAAGGAACAAACAACGGAATAGAGAAGAGTATCAGGAACATTTCTATCATGTTGCGTTCAGTGCTCTGAGCATTTCTTATACAAAACTGAGGACAACTAGACACTCAAATCACTAAGTGTTTTCCTGAACAATTATTGAAGTGGTATGAGCAGAAATCTATAACCACTTAATTATCTTACAATGGTATGGCTGGATTTTAACTTTTTCTGTCAATGTGGGAATCTGTACTTGAAAAAGTATAGGCTTGTATTCAATGAGATATATTTGAACTGTGTCAAGTATTATTTTTCTTTTTTGTACAAAACATAAACATGTCAACAAGTACATGTTTTAAACATAAATATAATTGATAATACCTTATGTTTCTATTGAAATGCATTTGTGCAAAGGAATTATAATTTATCCAGAAAATCATTTAGAATTTCCCCAAATATCAAATTTAAATAATGAGGTAACACATTTTATAAAACATCTTTTGTTTGTGTGTAAATTTAATTACAGTACTTTATATAAGCACCTTCCATCCCAAAAGACATCATTAATAAGCTATAAAAGGTAGACAAACTCCATGATGTCAGATTTTCTATGTGCAATTCTTTATATATTAATCCCAACCTTTCATTTTAGCAAAATAAGGGTTAATGACTCATGGCCTCTCCTACTCTATAATGTTTACAAAGTAAACTTTTTAGTTAAGACATGAATTTTTAAATTTTGTACTTGGAATTAACTTATAGTAAAATAATAGAAAGCTTTATGACACTGAGCTAACAATCTTTCAATAAACACAAATTAAGAACTTGGGAACACCTAGTTATCAATACAATTCAGATTTAGACAGGATAGTTTTAAATCCCTTAATTTTTTCTGATTAAAAAAAAAAAATGTTTCACTACCACAGGTCGAACAGCACCAAAATAGAACGTAACAGCAGAATGATGAGTCAGGTTAGAGATGTTGCCCCACGTGGGGCTTCATTGGCATGACTATATTTTAAATGTCAACTTTAAATGGGCCTAAGAAACTATCGACACAAATGAATGAAGGACATAAAACAGAACTTCAAAGGAAATCAAACATTAGCTTTTTGTAATTACATGATGAGAAAGATTCAGAAATGAACATTTTAGTTCTAAAATAAAATGAACTACAACTAGTATTTCAAACATTCTTTTACAACTTTAAATGAATATTATTCAAAATAAAAAAAGTACTTTCATAAACATTAAAGCCTGTAATATAAAATTGGCAACAACTAATAGTTTCTTTCTTAGTCTCTCTAGATAAATAATCAATGAACCAATTATTTTTTTCCAATTCTGCAAAGCGGAACAGTCAATGCAATTGATTTCAGATTTAGCATTTTTAAAAGAATAATTACTCAAACATATACATAGTTATCTTAATATTTTTTGAAGAATTATAAGAATATCAAACAAAAAGTTTAAATTCTTTCACTTTTTACTATTAGAGAGTTCTAAGACATTACAAAGTATTTTCCTTTTTAACCCATGTAAGAATTACAATGTGCAGAAAAGATGAGAGATGTTTCTTATAAAGGTAAATAATTGTGCTTCAGATTGTAATTGCTTGTAAGTGTATGTTATTTCCCCTCTAAAAAGAACACAAGAAAAGAACCCTGTGAAACTAATAAAACATCCCAGGTGCTTTCAAATGATTCCTTTTCATACAGGAACTTCTAAGCAAGCACACTATTGTGTTCGTGGGTATCTTTCATTCACTCCTCTTCATCTCGTAGACCAGGTGAAGTTAGCTAGAGAATATCTGTATTTGGAAGGCAAAAGAGAAAGAATGTATCATAAGAAGAAATGCTATCCAGCAGGCCAATTTACTCATGCTTAATTTTTTCATAGACAATGAATTATGAAAATTTCATGATTTCAATAGAATGAAGGACAAAAGAACATGAAAATCTCAATAGAAAAAAATAGTTGACAGAACACAATACTTTTATCTTCATGATAAAAACATTCAACACACTAGGAATAGTAGGGAATTCCTTCAAACTGATAAGGATATCTACAAAGACCCACGGCTAGCATCATACTTGGTGATGAAAGACAGAATGCTTTCCATCTAAGATCAGGAATTAAACAAGGATGTCTGTTCTCACCACTTCTACTGAACATTATGCTGGAGGGTCTAGTTACGGCATAGAGACAAGGAAAAAAAAAAATACTAGAAAGAAAGAAGTAAAACTATCTCTGTTTACAGATGACTTGTACTTGTAGATACCAAATCCTAAGGAACCTACTAAAAGCTATGAGAATGAATGAATCAACAATTTCATCAATAAATCAATAATTTTATCATAAGATCAATAACCAAAAATTAATTATATTTTTTACACATTATCAATGAACAATTCAAAAATGAAATTTAATTTACAATAGCATCAAAAGAATAAAATACTTAGGAATAAATTAAACAAGTATAAAACTTGCATTTTAAAAACTACAGGGAGACCGGTTAGCTCAGTTGGTTAGAGTGTGGTGCTGATAACATCAAGGTTGCCGGTTTGATCCCCACATGGGCCACTGTGAGCTGTGCCCTCCTTAAAAGAGTCAACTCTGCCATTGTAGCGTGAAAGCAATGTGTAACCAATGACAAAAATAAATTTAAAAAATAATAAAATAAAAATAAAAACTACAAATCGCTGTTGAAAGAAATTACAGAGGGTCTGAATAAATGGAAATATATCTGACGTTCATGGATTGGAAAACTTAATTGTCAAGATGGCAATACTTGCCACTGATCTACAAATTCAACACAATCCCTATCCAAATCACAGCTGGCTCTTTACAGACACTGAGAAGCTGATCTTAAAATTCATATAGAAATTCAAGGGAACCAGAATAACCAAACAACCTTGAAAAACTACAAAGTTGGAGGATTTACAGTCTTGATTTAAACACTTGCCACAATATTACAATCACCAAGACAGTATAGTATTAGTACAAAGATTGACATGTGAATCAAGGAAATAGAATTGAGAGTCCAGAAATAACCTCTTATATTTATCATCGATTGATTTTTGACAATGGTGCCAACAGAATTCAATGGGGGGAAATAATAATGTTTTCAACAAATGGTGCTAGATATCCAAACTAAATATCTACGTGCAAAAGAAGTTAGTCCCCTTCCTCACACCATGTACAAAATTTAACTCAAAATGGATCATAGACATAAAAATAACTGATAAAACTCTTAAAAGAAAAACATACGTGTAAATATTTGTGACCTTGGATTAGTCGAAAGTGGATGTGAGGAGGTTGGTGCAAATAGTTAGGCTGGGGTGGTGTGAATTGAAGATGAAATATGTTTGGAGCTGGGAGACTGAATATACAAATGGACAATGACTTCATGATATATTAAAATAGAACTCTGTCCCACAAGCTCTGTAACCACCATCCCAGGAAGCTAAACCTTACCCTCTACAGCAATTGGCCTCAAATGGTCAAAATTTGGTCAGTAACTGCCAGCTTTCCTAATACTTGCCTCTCCTTTCCCCTGAAGGGGGGAATGGGTTCCTGGAAGAACTGCCATGTCTTCCATGGAACCAAGAGGAAAGAAAAGGATGGGAGTGAGCAGGATGACAGGTAGATTAGATGGGATTCCTGTTTGGTACTGGGAAATTGAGGTATAAACAAAAGATAATTTTCCCCTCTGTGATAGGAGTCAAGGCCATCTGCTAAAAAATGAAGAAAAAGGTCTGAAATCTGAGGTGAGTAGTAGAAGCCAGAAACAGTTACCGTGGAGGGCAAGGCAGCAAGTTGACCACAGGAATATAGGAGTTTTGCTGGACACTGTGAAGAAGTGACCGATGGGAGATAAGGAACTTATAAGTGGTTCCAATGAGACTTCTGGTATATTCTCCAGTAGCAGTAAAATGCTTGGATGCAAACTTTAGGGTCCTTCCAGAATAATGAGATGAAGACAGCAGCAAGGAAACCTGTAAAACTGGCAGCAGTTATGGAATGAATTATAGAATCTTAGAAGGAGAAAGGGAAGACTAGAGCGGACAAGTCAGTGGGTATGGAGAAATGTGGAGGCTGATGAGGCTGGAAGAGTGGCCAAGCTTCTGGCATGACTATGGGTGTGCATAGCTGACACCTGGTGGAGGAGAAGGTCTTGGGAACGCCTGTGATTCTATCAATTTTTCTTCTGTAATAAAATGTTCACAAAGCAGAAGACATGTGGTTTGCATTATTAATTATTTTACTTATGAATAATTATAAACATTCTGTGCGGTAACAGATAAACTATCAAGGAACTTTAATTATAAATTAGCAATATTCTGAGGAATTATAGATGCACTGACAAGAATTTGAATGTTTCTGGTGATAATTGCTTACAATTTTATTATGATCGGGAAGCTTAAAATTCTTCTATATATTTTTATAGTGTTGAAAAAATTGTGGCATTCAATACCATACACCACTATTAAAAAATACATCCAACTATGAAATGTATTGAAGTAGTTAATTATGATTTTTTTCAAGCCACCTACAGAACAATAAATATCCTCTTGCTATTCTCTAAGAATATATTATCTAAGAATACATCACTGCTATGAAAAAATAAAGTTAACCTGATATCACTAGGTTACTAATTGAATGCATAAATGAGAAAAAACTAAAGACAAAAAGATTTATGGTAAAAAGAAATTTTAGACTCCCATACATGATAGAAAGCAGGTACTTTAAATGTCCGCACAAAGAATTATTACTGACGTTGTAATGGGAAATAAGTTCCCAAAATGAAGAAAATTCTGAAGTTATGGTTTAGTTCATCATACACATATTGTATATAGGGGAATATACATTTATTATTGTAATATATAATGTAACTAAATTTTATTATTTATATACTTAATACATAATATATATAAAGTATATTATAATTCAGGCCTTATGATCATTATAGAAGTTTTATTTCATCACTAAAATAGGAACATTTTTCTCTGTTTTATTTAGTTTTAAGCAATATACTGTGCAGATATGATAGTCCAGAGTAATCCCCTATAGTTAATTAAGGCTGCTCTCAGGCCATTCAAGCATTTTGAAGGTTTATATTTTAAACTCTAGGGGCCCAATCTTGTCTTCAAGGAGCTCACATTCCAATGCAGATAAAATCTGACAAAATAAAGCAGAATATGATAAATGGCTTTAAGAACCTACTGATAAAAATGCTGAGATTGTTGAAAGAATGGAGGATTATTTTAAGTTAATTGGATCAGGGTGGGCCTCATACAGAAAATGGAATTTGAGGAGAACCCTAGGAGAGGGGAAGGGTTTGAACTTAATGAGATGAAGGAAGCAATTCCTGGAAGAGAAAACACTTCCAAGCACAGAGATAGGAAATCAGTTTGATAGGAATTCAGTTTGTTAATAATAAAAAGTAAAGCTGAAAATGTATGGTGCGGGGCTTGGGAGTGGCGGGGAGGGTCTGATGATAGTAGGACTTAAATGCTAAGATAATAACTAAAAATTTGATTTCATTTCTTTTAGCAACATTTTGTGGAGTTCCTGCTGCACTCGAGGCACTTTTTTCGGCTGAAAATACAAAGATCACTACGACCCACTGTTGAGAATTTAGGTAAGCTACTCCATGGTATTGTTGTCTCAGTATCCATTTTGTTTGTCCAAGTGGGCTGCAAGGACCTTACATTGATAATAGCCCCTCCTGCAAACATATGCCATGGATAGCAGTTGTAGAGTCACAAGGAGATGTAAGTTCCTGATATGATTTCGCCAACAGCCCTTGTGATCAGTAATCTCCCTTGCCTCCCAGGGCCTATATACCTGATGTACCCCTTAGATAAGACCCCTATGGGGCTTACCAAAACCCAGCTCCTTTGGTTCGAATTTGCCAATCTCGCCTTCGTCCAGGAATACCAAAGCACTCCACTATGGACTCTCAAAAAAAATACAGGCATGTGTCCCAAGTCCCATCTCTGTCTCTGCCTCCATTCTGTTGACCTCCCCATGTAGGCCTCCCAGGCATGCCATGTATTTCCTCCAGGAGCCAGGAGTAATAAACTTCTCTATTGCAATTTATCTACAGTCAGTTGTTGAACTAAGGCTCACCCTTGGCTCACCATTCTGTACTCACTCCACTTAACAAATGCTAATTTAACAAAGTCAGAGCTCCACACCCTGCCTTCAGGGAATTTACAGCATGCTGAGAGGAAGGGAAGAGGACAGTCAGTCAACAGATCACTGCGATGCAGTGAGTCAAGTACTTTGACAAAAGGATGGAAATGGTGCTGAGAGCAAAAAGTGGGCATCTAGTTACAATTGGTAGGGGTATCAAAATCAGGAAATGTTTCTTTAAAATCAGAGGACATTTTTTATTTTTATTTTTTCTGTATCTCTCTGTGTTTTTATTTGTCAGATACAGAAAGGGGGGGGCATTTCTTGAAGGATGAATTGTTAGTGAGGAAAAGATGAAAGAAAGAATATTGCAAGTAGAAGTGTAGCTTGAGGACAACAGAGATGAAGCATTGACTGACTTTAAAATAATGGTATTAATAATAACTCTAGCTATTATTTATTTAGGTACTATGTGCTAGGGATGGTTATGACAAGTTAAATACCATTACTAGCTCCATCTTCCATGTCTGGAAGTGGAGGGAGGCTTAGAGAGGGTAAGTGAGTTACCAATGATCACCAGGGAGCAAGCTATGTGTGTAGTACTTGAATCCAGGAAGTCCAAAACAGTCTTAATTCTTATTCCCTCTGTGAGAGGGGAGGGGAGAAGTGACAGATGATGCTAAAGAGGTGTATTTTGTAAGGTACCATTTTGTTAAAATTATGGGAGTTCTCACTGTCCTGAAGGCTACAGGGACAGTTAAGAATTTTAATTATGGTGTGACATGTTTAGATTTAGTTTAGAAAAATCAGATGATAAAGCAAAAATGGACTTTCCAGAACCGGAACTAGAGGCTGCAGTGATCAGTTAAGGTGTTGAAGTCATGTTGGAGAGATATAACAGGTAATACTAACAGAGATGAAGAGAAGGGAGCAGATTTAAACAAAAATATTTCAAGGTAGAAATGACAGTTCTGGGAAACAAGCTAGAATAAACATTAGGGCACTGTGTTTAGAAATTTACATCGAAGACAGTAACATGTGTATTTCATAACACATAGTATCATACATAGTAAACATCTAATGCAATTCTCCAAATTTTGAGAACACAGGAGGAATATCTGAGTGGAAGGAATTGAAGTGTTTACTTTTAGGTGTATATTCATTCATCACATATTTCTGGGGAACTGACTATAGTAACTGGGCACACAGCTGTGATCAAAGCAAAGTCCTTATTCTCATGGAACTTACATTCTAATGAAGAGAGTCAGACACTAAACAAATAACAAAGTAAATATATGTCATATTGCATGACATTAGGTGTTATGGAGAAAAACAAACCAGGAAAAGAGAATAAGGGTTAGGGTGACGTATTGCTTTTTTTTTTTTGGTATTGCATTTTTATATAAAGGATCATCAGGGAAGTCCTTCCTGTTGACATCTATGATATTGGAACAGCGCTGGGCTACAGAAATAAGCTGTGCAGATGGCATGGTATTACTGTGCATATGCACTGAGATATGAGCTTGAATTGTCTGCAGGACAGCTAAAGTGATTCCATGGAAGCATTTGAACATCCTTACAGGTCCTGATAGGAACAGTGATTTATGCCTGGGATAAATAGTCAAAAGGGAGCAGGGTGTCATTGAAACCAAGCTAAATCCATTCTGTGATTTGACCTCCAATGAGATAACTGAGATCAGGACCAAAATGTGTTCACTGGACTTGAGAAGAAGAAAGTCACTAGGGACCTTTTTCAGAATGTAATGGGGAACAGTATGTTGAAATTAGATGGGAAGACAGGAAACAGCCACCTTTTTAAGAAAGTTTAAGAAAGTTGGGTGCGCAGAGAACACAGGTTGGTCAATAGGGGGCCAGCCGAGTGGCTCAGTTGGTTAAGAGCGCCAGCTCTGAGCAACAGGGTCACCGGTTTGATTCCCACATGGGCCAGTGAGCTGTGCCCGAGCTAAGCTGACAAAAGGTGGCAGGATGGCTCGGCCAGTGAGAGCATGTGCTCCTAACAACAGGATTGCCAGTTCAACTCCTGCATGGGATGGTGGGCTACACCTACCTGCAACTAAGATTGAAGGATAACAACTTGGCTGTCAACTGTTCCCCTTCCTCAATTCCCCAATAAAAAAATCTTAAAAAAAAAAAGAAAGAAAGAAAGCACAATGGGGTCTATGGTGCTTTTTATTATTATTATTATTATTTTTTAGATGAAATAGATCAGTTTTGACTGAGGGACATTCTGGGGAAGAAAGGAAGTAATTGTTGGATCAAGGTTCTTGAGGTATAGAGATTAACTGTACCCAAGCGAGGAATCTGTTAGTGACAATCCAGTGAGGGGCACACAGAAGTGTTGAAGATGTAGAAGTCTGCAGTTTGAAGGCAGAGTCTGACTTTGAAGCTTGATTATCTCTATTTCCTCCGGGAAGAGGAATTGTCTCTGGCTATGAGTTGGAAAAGGAGGTTAAAAAGTTTAAGGAAACTAGAGGTCATTAAAATTTGAAATATAGCTGCATCAGAACCGGAGGCACCTAAGAGTAAGGAGGGGAGAGTGCTTTGGGGAGAGCCCTGCTGAAGCTGGAGATGGAGCGCTCCATTGAAGTGGAGATTCTGTGCTGAGGGCAAAGCTGGCTTTCAGTTAAGGCAAAAAGGCAGAACGGAGTGAGAAGGGTCAAGATGGTAGGACACTTGAGGAAAGAGTTGGGAGGCAGGGCAGGGGGTTTGGTCAAGGCTGTCAAAAGTCCACGACTTGGAGGGTTTAAGAATGAGGCAGAAAATAGAGAATTGGAAGAACTTACATTCTGAATAGATCAAGGGTGATAAGAGAATATTAGCTGGTCTCAATTTGTAAAACACCTTCACCAAAAATCTTTTCATAGTTATTGCTGGTGGTAAGTGAAAATGGGCAACAGGGTAGACTTACTTTTGGGTTTACATTCTGCTGTATTGTTAGAAAACAATTTTATACCATGAAAAATGTAATAAGTTATTAAAAAGTTAGATAAAATATGTATTAATAGGGCATGTAGTTATCTAGAGTACATATTTATCAATAAAAGCATTAATAATTATAATGAGATTTTACTGTTGGAAGGGGGAAATCATTAGAATCTAAAGTCCCTACCCTAGTTTCTACTCTGTGGCCTTATATTAACCTGTAAGTTTAGACTTCCTGACACCCCTTCACTTGCTTTTCTTCCACTCTAATTCGGTTAGGGCTGAATGTGATGCCAAAATATTTCTGTGAGGAAAAAAGAAAAGTAAGAAAATGAATTGAATACAGCCTAGATTTTCTATTTAATTGTTAGGAAACCTTACTGAGGATCATTGAGGAGGACTCTAGGAGCTGCAAAAACTGACAGAGTAAAGGTAACAGAAAGTTCCTACTGAGTGAGTTAAAAGTCTAAACCACTCTAAAGAGTTTATCTGGAAAAATTCCAAAGTCAACTGTTTATCTTACCTATCCTTTCACTGTCTTACTTGACCCTAACTGCATCAAATACATACATGTGATTTTATCTAAAGCGTGCAAGAAAACAGACGGGGATACAGGAGAAGGAGTTTTTGCCTTAGAGTTTTCCTACGTAGGTCTCTAGCTCCTTACCCAGTTTGTCAAGTTGTTTCGTTGCAAGACATACAACAAATGTGCAAATATTCAGGACAGCGAATATTATGCCACTGAATTTGAAGGTAGCACTTGTTACTATAGCCCTGGTTCAGCAAGATCTTGGAAAATTATCTTAATGTTTATCTTGCATTGGTGAGTATACTATCTCTGGATTCCAAAATGTGGCTTTTTACACATTCTTCAAAGAACTGGAGCTGGAATGCAGAACTAGTGTAAACACTGAGAAAACGGATGCTGTAAGCTGAGCAGTTCTTTAAAAGATCAGCCTAATTTTGTCAAGGATTGCTATTATTAAGTGGTTTACATGGCCTTTACTAAATTTTCCCTTTGGTTTACAAATTTGGTTTGTAGGTCAAATTTTTCCTTCACTTGGACAATTCAAATTTCATGTTTACTTGCAACTGTTAAGTTTTACCGCAGGTGGTTTGTGGAGAAAGCCAATAAAACCTGCAGCTAAGGGCTTTTATTCACAGTTCTGTAAAGGCATCTCTCTCTGTATATGCAGGAATTCCCTTGCTATTGTGAAATGCCTCCTCTCCTCTTTGTTATTTGTGGAGGAGTGCTGGGAACATCTTGAACTTCTCGACTGCTCCTCAACACAGATTTTACCCTAATTTATTTATATGTGAGACTGAAATGCATTAACACACAACAAAGGATTTTTTAACATATAAAATCCTTTTAAAGCGTGTTTAGTCCCTACTAATTGTCTTCTCAAGAACTTCATATTGCTCTCTTTGGCTCCCTCCAACAAAATTTGTTTTTCATATTTTCATAGGAAAGAGTAATTTGTTACAGAGCCAGGCATAGAGAACTTGGCTTTTTGTCTTAATCCTTGTGATAAATGCTTATTACTGAATTGCTCTTCCTGCTTTTCATGTCCTACTCAGGGCTTTCACTGGGTTTGAAAAGCACATATTAAACAATGGATATAGCAACCATTCTTTCCTCTGAATGAATAGTGCCATAAACACTACAGCCTAGAGGCCAACTGAACAAGCTAATTTAGCAATTGCCTGTGTATGTTAACCAGGTGAGGAATATTTCTACGGCATTTTTTTTTTTATGGAAGATATATTTTCTGACTTAAAGAGCTTAAAATAATTACAATGGAATGCCAAATTTATGTTTAGTATGAAATAACTTAAACTGGGGCAGTGTTTGAAGTTAAATGATTCAGGCAGCATCACTGGTAATAATGGTGGTGTAAAATCATTGGCCTTTTCAATCACCTTTTTTTTTTCCCCACAACAAAAGGGGAGGAGCAAAATTCTATTCAGGATTTATCCTTAAAGATGCAACCATCAAGACCAATTCTATGAGTGAGGCTGGAAAGCTGCCATGCCATGAATATTGTTGATTTTTTATATTAAAAGAAATATTTTCAGGAGAAGTAAACTACATATTGAGGCTAGCACATCATTCACATGGTGTTGTTGAGCCAATATGTCCAAATGCTTTCAAGCACACAGTGGTCTTAGTGGGAAATGTGCTTGTTCTGGATAACACAGGGAGCTAGTCAGTGTTTCTCAAAACACATGCTTTAAGATACTTTCATAATTATATTCTGGTACCCAATTTTTAAATTATGGTAATTGTTAAACACACACAATAGTATTAATCCCAATATAACTATCACTCAGATTCAACAATTAAGACTTTCCTACATTTTTCTCATCGATCCCATTAAATTATTTAAGTAATTCCCAAACATCATGTCACTTCACTGTTTCATCTGTTGGTATGCATCCCTTAAACTGACATTACCATAAAGCCATTATCACACATTACAAAATCCGAATAGACACTCTTTGGTGTATCCAACCTGGAACATTGTCTAAATGGGGGAAAGCTATTTTCCGTCAGAAGTACCTCAGGGGAAGGGCACGCGTGAATGGAGAGGCATACATCTCCTCTGATGGCAGCTGAGTCTGTGAAGTTTTCTTCTCATTGCCAAATTAGCTGAGGAAACAAGGAGCAATATTAGGAGCTAGGAGCACTTTTCAGGAAATTAAATGTTGTTTAATCTGGAGGGCATAGGCAATATATAGGATTCAAGCTATACTGTGATTATTTGCTGTTTGCTTAGAGGTGATTATGATGTAAAAAATTAATGTGATGCAAATGCACAAGGTATATTTCTAACAATTCACGTTAATAGCAGGATCTAATAGTAATATCCTCCTCCTTCTACCTGGCTTCTTCCTAAATGCTCATATTTTATTTTATGTACTGAATTAATAAAAAATATCGTATAAGAACATTGTCCAAAGTGTTCTAGATTTCAGAAAAGTAGAAATGGTTTGAATAGCAACTGCTGTGAACAGTGAGAAGGAATGCTTTCCGAGTTGCTAATTTGGAACTTTTTTCTTATTTGTGTAAAAGGGCACACCAGCGGACTCCATTTGAAATAACCTCAGTGATCAGACTTCTGATTACCTAAAAGGCAGAAACTGAATTTTTAACTAGTTATGCACCATTTTGTGTTCTAAATGGAGAAGTGTATTATCAAGTAAATAATCTTATGTATTTGGATATGTGTATAATCACTTTTTTATTTAAATTTGGGTTTGAGTTTTTCCCGGAGTCAGAAAACTCTTTAATTTTTTTTACTTGCCAGTGCTTTGAAATCTTAGTATTTGGTTTTAAGGTAAAAGCACATTAGAATAACTGATTACTGAATTCCAGTTGGATAAGAACAACACAACTGATATCGTCTTTGAAAAGTAAATATTATTTATCTTAACCATACATATTCTTGACATTTTTTTGGCTTTATAAGCACAATACTAAAAATTGTGCTTTTTAAAGTGACACGTCTAATTATATATAACTAGAAATCACAGCTATTGACCTGTTTTAAGATTTCATCTACAATTTGTTACATTATGATTTTTATGTTGTTAATTCAGTTAATGTTGTCCAGTCAGCAACATACTGTTTTAATACACTGCTTTGGATTTTGCATTTTACCTAAAAATCTGTAAGTTTGTTTACCTCCGTAATGTACAGACCAAGCATTTTCATTTCTTTTTGCTTATAAGGACAACACATCTACAATAGCTAAGGGATCAATATTCTTTGAAATTAGAAAAATAGTGGTAAAATATATATCATTTTAATATCCAGCTTTTTTTTTTCAATGTTCCAAATAAGAAGAGACACAGTATTGCTAGCGTACTTCTGAAATCCTACTCACCCTTACACCCCCAATCACTGAGGTGTTTTCAACATAAACACAACCATGCTTAGAGGCCCACGGACACAAACAGGCATTAAAAAACAAGTTACTTGGTATAAATGTACCCAAATCTTACCTGGTCTCTGTCCATTGATAAGAAGAAGACTCATCATAAAAATAAAAAACACAAAAAAGAATTGCTGGAACCTCATTTTTCTGTCACCCTGAAGTGGAGCAATAGCTCTACAAGTCAACCAAACTTCTTTGAACAGTCTTGTGCAAAATCTGTGTGGCTCTTCTCACATTCTAATGACAAACCTCAGAGAACTGCCAGCTGCGTTTTCTAGAAAGGTTAATGATCACATCAGACAAGGTTACTGGTGCGCTGTGCTGTGGTTAGAGCCTCCCCCGGCCTCAAACCCCTCCTCCACTCCTATCCTCCTCCCACCTCTGTCACTCCCCTTTATTTCCATAAGCAAATATTGGTGAAATGAAGCCTTCAAGTGTGCTTCGACTGCAGTGGAAGTGTACTCGGGAAGCGTTTAGGAGAGATTTAACTCAATCTGGATTTGCAGGAATATGTAAAACGAGGCATGGCTTTGCCTCCTCCCCTCACTATTTGCATCTGTTTAAACTTTGCATTGCCCATATTGGTCCCACATGCAGAAACCAATTGAAATGACAGGAAGTCTCTCTTTTGTCCTTTTCAGAAGGAATTCTGAAACCCTAACCCAAGACTCTCGAACGCTTTGTGGCAGAGCTTGTGCTGAAATGCTTTTTCAGTACCAAACCTACTGCGAAATGGTGCCTGTTTATCCTCAATCTCTAAATTGCTTAATCTATATGGGTTTGTATCAATAAACATTCCTGGGGTTTAGGATGTTCTGAAATAAATCTGAAAACCATTTATGTTTTTATTTTGTAAAGTGCAATTTAAAAAGTAACGGGGATCATTTTTATCTGCAATATGTCCAGAATTTTTAAAAAGGAAGTGTATGCAAGCCACAGACTTATGAAATCTGTATTCTGCTAAAAAAAATTATATGTGGTGGAATGCCAGGCTAACATATCACAGACACAGAAATTAGAGATGGAGAAAGAACTTCTCAGGTCATCTCCCCACAAATTCAGAAGACACAAACATAATAGTCTAGTGTTGTCTTTGCACACATGTTATAACATCTCTTTTTGTTTTAAGTGCTTCCGTCTCTGTGATATGTAGCTGTTATCAACAGAAGTTACTGTACTTATTATAAAGTAATCCAAAAGGATAGTGTAGATGCACTTTGGAAACACATGTAGAGCCCAAACACCAAATCTAAAGCATGTGAAGCTTTTATACACTGCCAGGAATTTTGTTGCATTTGGCGTCTCTAGGTTCAGGTAGATGTTACACCACCTTGGGCTTCCTGAGGTTTGAAATTAATGCCTAATTTGTCTTGGTCTTCCTAGTCAGTCTGTAACATTCCCCGCCTGCCTACTTATGCATGCACCTTATAACAGGCAATAGCATACAGGAATTCTTAGAATCACTTCCTTAAAATCCAAAGAACGTTTGCCCATTTTGGAACTGGAAGCATATGTTAAAGGGTCTTACATCACTGTGCTGTATTCGTACATCGCTCCAGACAATCAATTGAATACAAGAGTTTGGACTCATAAAATGCTTCATGAATGGTGAAGGGGTTGTTCAGATTTTTGCTTCCCCTGCAAACTTCTCACTCTAGCGCACTGGAAAACAGAAAGTTACCGTGGTTGAGTGTTTAAATCAAGAAAACCAACAGGAGATGAATATAGATTTTGACAATATAACTTTAAGCAAAGTTATAAGTCTATTTAAAGGTATAGTAGTGAGTTTTCTTTATGGATAAAAGAGTGACTACCATAGACTGCATATAGAGATTAAAATTTTTATATTTTATAATCAGGTGATCAACAGTGAACTCCTAGAATATGGCCAATATGCGCAAGTACTGTGGAAGGTATATGACATCTCCACTGATCAGGATACAGCAAAGTGTTGTATTTGTCCTATAACCACTTTGAACATCGTTTTTCTCATGAAAAAAATTGAGATGTAATATCTGGTTTTCCACTTAACAGAGTTATAAAGGTTTAGCAAGATAATGTATTAAATTTATGAAGCTTAAAGCATTATTTATTTATATATTGTAAAATGATTCTTTCAAAAAACAACTTAAGGAAGATGACAATGATGATCATGTTTAAACGGTTGCTTTTTGGAGTACAGTAATGAAGTGTTAGAGAGTTGATGGGCAAACTGAAATTTTAGACATTGAAGGACAATGACAAATGATCCAGCATTTCTGTGGAATGTGGGTCAACAATGGTGGTAAATCATTCACGTGAGTGTTGACCAACCAGGCATGGAGAAATCTTAGTAGCAAAGTGGTAAGTCAGAACAATGCAAGTGGCTCTTCAACTAGATGAAAATGATAAATCATCTTTGTGTATGTGAATGGAAAACCCCACTTCCACCCCACCTACAGCACAGGTGGGCCTCTTTGAGAGCCAAGCACTGTCCCTCTGAGCCAGGTACCATGCTACATGCATTACATATATTATATCACTTAAACCTCCTCAGAACACTCTGAGGTATTACTCCCTGTTTTGCCAAATGAGAAAACTATCAGCTAAAGAGCTCCAAGGCCACCTGGTTGGGAAGAGGAAGAGATGGAATTCAAATCCCATAACATGAACTTTCAACCATTTTGCTATCCTCTTGATTAAGGTCCAAATACTATTTCTTACAATAATAGCCTATTGAAGCTATTATAAAAATAAGAATAAGTTAGGAAAATACTTCTTATACTGGGTTGAAAAGTGTATCCCCCAAATTAAGAATGTGACCTTATTTAGGAATAGCGTCTTTGCAGATGGAATTAGTTAAGATTGAGGTCATGCTGGAGTAGGGTGGGCTCCAAATCCAATATGCCTGGTGTCCTTATGAGAAAAGAAGAGACACAGAGACATACAGGGACATACAATGAGAATGCCATGTGACAGCAGTGCTAGAGATTACAGTTCTAGTGCTACAAGGCAAGGCTTGCCAGTGACCACCAGAAGTTAGAGAGGGGATGACCAGTTAGATCAGTTGGTTAGAGTGTGGTTCTGATAATACCAAGGTTCCCAGTTCGATTCCCATATGGGCCACTGTGAGCTGTGCCCTCCTTAAAAGAGTCAACTATGCCATTGTAGCATGAAAGCAATGTGTAACCACTGACCATGGCTGTTCCCCAATTAAAAAAAAAAAAAGGTTAGGAGAGAGGCATAGAACAGATTCTCCCTCTGAGTCCCCAAGAAGGAATCAAAACTGCTGACCCTTTGGTTCTGGACTTCTGGCTTTCTGAGTGATGAGAGAACAAATTTCTGTTGTGTTTTTTTTTCAGCTGAGCCATCCTGCCACTTGTTGGTGGCTCAGCAGCAGCTCAGCTCAGACCGGAACTTGAACCAGTGACACTGTTGCTCAGAGCTCGCACTCTTGAGTGAGCTCTTAACCAACTGAGCCACTTAGCCAGCCCTTGAGTTTCTGTTGTTTTAAGCCACCCAGTTTGTGGTACTTTGTTACAGCAGCCCTAGGAACCCAGTTCACGCCAATATATTTATATATTATATAAGTAGATATATTCTCTATATAATTCTTAAAAGATATATTTATTTTTATAGTGGTACACTGTATATGACAGGTATTTAAAAGAAGTTATTTTAATAGACATTATAATCGTATGATGCAAGTTTCATCACCATTTTAGAGATGAGAGAACAGACTCAGAGGATTAAGTGTCTTGCCCAAAATTAAATGAAACACTAATAGCAAAGCCAAGATGAGGCCTGTCCATCTGGTTCTGGGCCTCTTACGCCTTTGATTTTTCATTCTGTGCCCTCATTGGCCCTAAGAGATCCTGCCCCACCTATCTTGTCTTCTTTCCCACTCACATCTTCATCTTTCCTTCCATCTCTCTCTCCCTACAAACGTGCTCTCTCCAACCTAAAAATTCTCTCCTTTGGCTCATTTTCATTCAGACTCTATTCAGCCAGATACTGAAATAAAGAGTCTCCCCTGATTGTTCTACTCCCTCACCACCTTCTCAGGATATACATCTCGTTGATATCAGACTCAACCTTTTACCACACTGCTGACCCTGGTGTGTCTCACATAAAATCATTAAACTTTCAAATAGGGCCTTTTCTGCGAAAACTTCAATCCATCCAAATTAAGCCACTCTCTGCTCATGATTTCTTCTTTTCTTGTTTTTGCTCATGCTGTGTGTTTCTTTTCTTTGGAAACATCTGCTCTGTTTGTCCCAATTTTACCTCATTAAAGTCCTACTGGTTGTTCAGGGTTTAATTCAGTCATTCAAGGTCAGTTCAACAGGCATTTGTTGTACACTTAAATTACTACTATGTTCTGGGCTGTGCACTAGGTACAGGAATAAAAGGAGGAATCAGGCATAGTCCCTATTCTTTTATTTATTTTTTTTAAAAGATTTTTATTGGGGAATTGGGGGAAGGGGAACAGACAAGTTGCTGTCGTTTTGTTCTTCAGTCTAGTTGTGAGGACGTTGCTTCACTGGCCCAAGTGGCACCATCATTGCGCTCCTCCCGGGAGAGGCAGATCAGTCCCCGTCTCCTGGAGGGCCACTCACGCTGGCTGCTGGCTACACACGGTAGCCCATGGCAACCCACCTGCCGATGTTAGCTACTCACGGCAGCCCATATCCAGGTTGAGCTGTTGTTCAGCATCTTAGCTGTAGAGGGCAGTGTCACTGGCCCTCATATGTGGGATCCGAACCGGGGCCCTCTGGCGTCCCAAGCCAGCTCTTAACCACAGTGCCACTCGGCCAGCCCCATAGTCCCTATTCTTGAATTTACCGTTTATTCATTACATTTTATCTAATGTAACTTAATTTTAAAGTACATTTCCTAGATTTTCTTTATGAGCATTTCCCCATTCCTGCCAACTAAAGGTGATTTTTATTTTTTCTGGAGGTCTGGAAAGTTTCCTCTGTTATCATAGCCTTTTCACCACCGTAGCACTTAATTTCTCCCTTGTGGGCCATAGTACATTCATCCTGGTCTGACAGTTTCTTGAGGACATATGGACTTTTACAGAAATAAAAACCCTTTGAACGGAGAGACTTGTCCTTTTGTCCTTTTGATGTCTTATCCAGAACCTAACAATACTGAATTGCTATTGAATTGAATTGAATATGAAAATCATTCAGTTCTTAAAAAATGAATGGGTGAGAACTTAAAAACAGTGTGACTCCAGAAGTGAATATTGGATAAAGTAAAGGAATATGTAAAAAATATTTCTCTGGAAAAGGTGAAAAAATTATGAGATAAGTTCAGGAATTAATTAGAACAAACATTAGGA